TAGTTTGCTCAGTTTTTATTATTTTGTTGTGAGTTTTTAATTGAATATGCAGAAGCTGTATTCAGTGCTAGTAAGGAGGTACAGAAAGAAGTATGCATGTTCATGTCTCATTATCAGATTATTGCAGCACAAAATTATAATAAGCCCATTGAAAATGTGCAGGATTTAAAATATTTTGGAATGGAAGGGTAGGTGTGCACATAGGCATGTATGTGTGCGCGCGCACACACACAGCCAGCAGGGTGATTTCATAAGCCTTCTCTTATTTTTTCAGCGTAAGGGAAGCAGGCTGAAAATAGTCCAGAGGCACATTCAAGAAAGAGACTTGCGAAATGCAATTCAGCATTAATATGATGATGGTTGCAGTATTCTTGGATACTGAAAAGGCATTTGACATAACACAGCACCCTGGCCTACTACACAAATTGTCAAATTCATCTTTCCTGTGTGGCAGAAAGTGCCCCCAAGTTGTTTTTTTTCTGTTACTGTGTGGCAAAATTAGCAGTGACATAAATGAAGCACCACTTTTTGTCAAAAACAATTAACATCTAAGATGCGGATGGCAAGGAGCCGTCCGAAAGGCTGCTTAAGTACTACACAAGCACTCAGTTACTTATGTCAAGTTTCTTACAGTTCAACACAGAAGATGCACTGCCTATTTCCAAATGTATGGCTGTCAGAGCCACCTCCAAGTGAGAAATCTTCCCTTGTTTCCAGGGGCCACCGGAAGGGGACTAGCTATCCTGGAGAAGACGCGCCTCCCATTGCCAGCAAGAAATGTGAGATCACTGAAAAGTGTAATCCAGGATTGCAATTTCTGAAGAGGAACTTCACTGTGTCTTGCTTCTTGGTGTTTGTTTGCTTGGCTTCTTCCACCATCAAGATGGAGGCAGTATATGTCCTCCAAAATGTTGGCCAATGTCTACTACTGACTAAGAAGATATTATTCTTCAAGGGGAGAGTTCTTTAAGCCTTAACTGTTCCATTTACAAGTTCATTTGCTGTTAAGTGTACACTGTATACTTTTACAGTTGTATTATATGAATAGTACCTGCTTTTCACCAAAGTCTTCAGTCTTTGCTTTTAGTGATAATATACCAAGGTCCTGTCTGACAATCCCAGGAAATTAGAATATTCAGATCTGTGTTTATAGTTACATGAAACTTTTTTTTTCATTTCAGCTTGCATCACGTCATGATAATCATAGAAATAAAGCAGATTACATGGAAGATATGAGGGTCATACTGAAAGTCATGAGCAACAATTTTTTGTAAAGTAACATGCTTTATTATTGACAAACCAAATACACCACCTCAATCTACAGACCTTTCTTTATTTTTCCACATAATCACCACTTCTTTGTACACATTTCTCCCAGCGTTCTGGGAGTTTGAGAATTCCCCTTCTGTAAAATTCCGTTCCAGCCATCCGAAGACACTGACGCACTGCTTTCTGAATTGCCTCCCTTGTCTCAAAACGTTGTCCACGCAGCTGATCCTTCACAAATACGAAAAGATGGTAGTTGGAGGGTGCCAGATCAGGGCTATAGGAGGGGTGTGGAAGAACTTCCCACCCCATCTTTGCAATTGCTTCCAATGTGAGGCAGCGGTGTGTGGGGGTGAGCGTTGTCATGCAGGATGATGATGTTTCGTCCCGGACGTTTATCACACAATGAACGACGGAGCTTATGCGGCGTCTGGACAGAATGAGCAGCATTGATGGTTTGGCCAGAATAAACCCCTCTGTATCCCAGAAGACTGTGCCCATCACCTTCGCAGCTGATGGCACTATCTTTGCCTTCTTTTTTGATGGAGAATGCAAATGGTGCCATTCCATACTCTGCCGTTTCAGTTCAGGCTCGAAATGGTGAATCCAGCTTTCATCACCTGTCACAATACAGAGCAAAAAATCATCACCTTTGTGTCAATATCTCTGCAGCATTTCTGAGGTGATTGCTTTTCACTGACCTTTGTGGTCTTTGGTCAATAACTGCGGGACCCAGTGAGCACAAACTTTCCTATAGCCCAAGCTTTCAATCATCTCCTGTACTGCACTGTGCCCTATTCCAAGTTTT